CGCAACTCGGGGCTTAGGGAGAAATCCGTGTCGAGGAGCAAGGACGACAACATGGAGACGCCAAGCCGGAAAGCCGCATTCAGGACAAGCCAACGGGCTGCCGGTTGATGCTAAGATGGGTATGACGGGTAGGCATTGAAGCATATTGAGACGCTCTGAGCTGCAGAAGGTGGCAAATGATTTGAATAAGTCCAACTGCGGTTCACCGCATGCAAGACTCTACTTTACCAGCAATTCAAGCAAACCGAGCAAGTAGCGACCTTGAAAGCACAACTTGGGATATGTTCCTTGGTCAACCGCTGAGGGCCGCCAGGCCGTTCAAGAGTTGCAGTGTTTCCGCAGGACATTCAATGCAGAGGAGCAAAGGTCTCCATTGACGCAGCCACTGCTGAACCAGAATTTCACTGCCCCGGTTCCGCAAAAGGCAACGAAGATTGTGAGGTTTGCTGCGCTTCTGGGGCTTTCCTCACTTGAGACTTGAGTCACTTTTTGTGATTGGACTAGCTTAGTGGTAATTAAGTTTGGTTGCCTTTTTGGGCCCATCCACTCAGGAAGTGAGTTGTAGCCCTTGTGATATGCGTCCTGCTCAAGTCTGCTTGCTGTGGGCTTGGGCTCGGAGCATTCGCTGTGCGGCAGGCGTCCGACTCTCCCCACTCAAGTCCCTCGCTGCCGAATTTCCACGCGCCGGACAGCACCGGCAGGCATGGCAGTTGATTGGTTCCCTGCGGCGTGCTCAAAGATTGCATCTGCCCTCTTTTATGGCGACCGATCGGGGGGTAGAACGAGCGAAAGCCATGAGAAAGATCCTTTGCTTGGGGATCCGATTCTTAAATCAGCGTTTGGAATTATAGTGCAATTTGAAGGTTGCATGGACGACAGGAAGGGCTGACATTGCTTCCACTGAGATGAGTATTTGTAACGATAGGTCTTCTTCTTTTTTTTGCGGGTACCTCTTTGTTGCCACCATTTTGCGGGTCCACTGAAAAAGACACACCCATGTGAGATAAGCCGTTACTTGGAGGGACCCCTGTTGGTCGATTCGTCCATTTTGCTGGCGCGCCAGCTATTGGGAGTTGGGTCCGAAGAACTCCATTTCAAGAAGCTCGAGCCATGTTTCAAGTGGAATGCGTTCCCTCGCCAGCTCTTGTGTTTGCCAAGACTGTAGATCGCTCTCGGCAGGTCGCCGCTGAGTGGAATTTCGCGGGAATCCTTGCGGCATCACGCCCTGCAGTTTGGTAGTCGCTGCAGGCCCGACGGTGAGGCGTTTGGAGGTCGGGACTTGGGCTTGTCCGCGCGGCAGAAAGTCCTCTGTGACATTCACATGGCAAAGCAGGGGTTCCCCAAGTTTTGTCTTTTTCCTGGTGGTTTCTCTTCAAAGCAACACTCACTTCCTGAGTTCCTGGACTTCAAACTTTTTGCGTTTGGACCATCTTAGTGGCAAATAACAGTGTTTTGGCCAATCCACTCGATCGGTCTGACGACCAAATCAACCCCAAAACGGCTCATGGCGAAACAGAGGGGCGTGCCAACTGAAAGCGTTTTCCTTGTTTCCTCTCAAGCCAGTCAATGAGTTTCCTTGCTTACCAATCGAGCCAAAAAAAGGCCACCCTCAAAGGAAGAAAAGCGACGGCCTCACGTGGAGGCGTGCTGCCACCAGACTTGCCATCGAGGCCAGCCCGACTTTTTTGGTGGATGGTTTGTGGCTCGTCTTTCTTTGATGGCTCCCTTTTTGGGGTGGTTTTAAAAAGGAAACCAAGAGGAAAACCGCAGTTTCCGAGGGTCCGATACAAAAGGCACACCCTTGCTCTTGTTCCTAGCTCTGGCTCCCGCTCGCGGCTTTGAAGCAAGCGCTCAATGCAAACGGCAATTTTCGGCTTGGCATGTGCCCCACAAACCGAAAATGGCGTCTCGGCACGAGAAAATGGCTTCAGCCATTTTTCTGGTTTCCCGGAAACACCACGAAACTGGGGCACCCTCAAAAAAACATTCATATCGTGGATGGACGAATTCCTGCATCAACTAAGAAACCTTGGAAGGAAGATCCCCGCAATTACATACCAACAAGCGGCAACAAACCGCAACAAACAATGGCTTCAACCATGGTTTCTTAGGTGGTGCGAACAAATTTTGTCAATCCACAGCATGTCGTGCTGGGGGCTCATAGTTGTCAGTGGCTCGGATTGCTGATTGCGCCATTTTCAGGGCAGCGGCAGTACTCCCATCTCGCGGACCTACCACCGCCCAGTTTTGGCGAAGCCAAAAGATGTGAAGGACCTAGCGAGACCCGGCCGGAGATCTTGTTTAGAAGCAGTTTGTTTTAATATAAAATTCCAATTGCTTTTGTTTTTGTAAAGGTGGGTTGGGTTTTTATTAAGAAACAAAGCACTGCAATCAAGCCGAGCCAGGTTGTGTTGACTGGTGTCGGGTCTGAATTTTCAAGGCAATTGCTCAAGCACCCGTCCACGTTCACTGAAGGATTTTCAAGAGCCTTTGATTTGTGGCGTCACTCAGGAAAGGCGTCGTGGACTCCATCAACAGACAGGTTGCCATGGCAGCAGTTGTTTTCCAGCCATTCCAGAGACGGTTGGTCAAATGCATTCTAAACTTGCTGGTCAGTAGGGAATGACCTTTTGGATCCTTTTGGGTCTGAACCAAAGGGATTGCCAGGTTGAGATTCCCCTCAAAAGGAGAGCCACCGGCGGGACGGTTTTTCTTGGGGCCATGGGATTCCTTTAAAGGAAGCCACAGCGGAAGCCTTTTCTTGAGGCCAATCCGCACAGAATGCCAATCCGCAGGCGCAGGACCCGGAGAAGCTGTACTCCGAGTCAGGTCGCTGGCAAGCCATCGCCCGCAGCACCTGCTTCAAGAGCCTGACATTGATAATGGCAGCTTGGCAGGGCAAGAAAGATGCGCGAGCAGCCATGGGAAAACTTGGCGGTTTAGGAGTTTAGGAGCCCTCCGGCTCCTTTGCCTTTTCGTGGGTGAAATGGAAACCCAAGCGCTCAACCAACTCAATACATCTCAGGCTTGAGAGATGTTTTGAGTTGGTTGAGTGCTTGGGTTTTAATTTCACCCACAAACACACAGTGACTTTTAGCAGGGGTTTCTCAAAACGGACAGCCAGGCAAATGGCGCGTGCTTCTTGACTAGCCTCAATGCGTTGAAGTCATTCGTGGCTGTCGCGCGGCTCCTCGGGAGTCCTTTTCTAAAAATTCGCAGGATGTGTGCAATGCGTAGGAGCCTGCATATGGGTCTGGCTCAAAATTTAGGTAGGAGCTAGGGCTACGCAGGTTTTAGTCTTTGTTTCCATTTACCTAGGGGCAATTTTGGGTACCCCTTTTTGACCCACAGCCATACATATATATATATATATATATTAGCCACGGACAAAACACACGAAGACAACTTTATCAAGGCGGGGTACGTTTTTGCATAACACATGCCAAAACCGTGGAAAACGATAAGGTCTCCCCCAAAAACGATAGCCCTTAGCTAACACACGGCTCTATAATAACCCCTGCAGTTGCAACTTAGCTAGGGTGGGACCCTTGCGTGGCCACCGTAAAACGAGAAGGCAAGTCGCCACTTTCGAGCTGGAGCTGCCACGGTGTGCTTCGTAAGTACGACACTTGTACTGAGAAGTTGCGATTTTCGAGCTGGAGCTGCAGAAGTGTACTTCGCGTACTAGACTTGTACTACAAAGTTGCGATTTTCGAGCTGGAGATGCGAAAGTGTACGTCTCGTACTAGACTTGTACTACAAAGTTGCGATTTTCGAGCTGGAGCTGCGGAAGTGTGCTTCGCGTACTAGACTTGTACTACAAAGTTGCGATTTTCGAGCTGGAGCTGCGGAAGTGTACTTCGCGTCCTAGACTTGTACTACAAAGTTGCGATTTTCGAGCTGGAGATGCGGAAGTGTACTTCTCCTACTAGACTACTTGTACTACAAAGTTGCGATTTTCGAGCTGGAGCTGCGGAAGTGTGCTTCGCGTACTAGACTTGTACTACAAAGTTTCGAGCTGGAGCTGCGGAAGTGTACTTCTCGTACTAGACTCGTACTACAAAGTTGCGATTTTCGAGCTGGAGCTGCGGAAGTTTACTTCGCGTACTAGACTTGTACTACAAAGTTGCGACTTTCGAGCTGGAGATGCGGAAGTGTACTTCGCGTACTAGACTTGTACTACAAAGTTGCGATTTTCGAGCTGGAGATGCGGAAGTGTACTTCGCCTCCTAGACTTCTACTACTGCGGAAGTGTACTTTGCGTACTAGACTTGTACTACAAAGTTGCGATTTTCGAGCTGGAGATACGGAAGTGTACTTCTCGTACTAGACTTGTACTACAAAGTTGCGATTTTCGAGCTGGAGCTGCGGAAGTGTACTTCGCGTACCAGACTTGTACTACAAAGTTGCATTTTTCGAGCTGGAGATGCGGAAGTGCACTTCGCGTCCTAGACTTGTACTGCAAAGTTGCGATTTTCGAGCTGGAGATGCGGAAGTGCACTTCTCGTACTAGACTTGTACTACAAAGTTGCGATTTTCGAGCTGGAGATGCGGAAGTGTACTTCGCGTACTAGACTTGTACTACAAATTTAAAGTTGCGATTTTCGAGCTGGAGATGCGGAAGTGTACTTCGCGCACTAGACTTGTACTACAAAGTTGCGATTTTCGAGCTGGAGATGCAGAAGTGTACTTCGCTTACTAGACTTGTACTACAAAGTTGCGATTTTCGAGCTGGAGCTGCGGAAGTGTACTTCGTACTACAACGTTTTCGAGCTGGAGCTGCGGAAGTGTACTTCTCCTACTAGACTACTTGTACTACAAAGTTGCGATTTTCGAGCTGGAGATGCGGAAGTGTACTTCGCGCACTAGACTTGTACTACAAAGTTGCGATTTTCGAGCTGGAGATGCGGAAGTGTACTTCGCTTACTAGACTTGTACTACAAAGTTGCGATTTTCGAGCTGGAGCTGCGGAAGTGTACTTCGCGTACTAGACTTGTACTACAAAGTTGCGATTTTCGAGCTGGAGATACGGAATTGTACTTCCCGTACTAGGCTTGTACTACAAAGTTGCGATTTTCGAGCTGGAGATGCGGAAGTGTACTTCGCGTACTAGACTTGTACTACAAAGTTGCGATTTTCGAGCCGATATGCCAAAGTTCGAAAACACTGTAAAACGATAAGGTCTCCCCCAAAAACGTTAACGTTCAAAAAAGTACTAGGGCCAAGTAAAGTGTTTTGTCCCTCCTCATATATTTGAGAGGTACGGCTATCGTACGCAGATGGTTACAGTCTTGAACCCTAGTAAACGTGCTCGCCGAATTCCAAGGTTTTCGTAAGCACTGCCTGGATCGCCGTTGACACCGACTACAACACGGAAAACAGCAAGCAAGCTTATCTCTTCGTTGCCATGGACAACATCATTTGCGTGCGCTGGCTGCAGATTGAACAGTTGGAGCACATCGCATCGTTCCATGTGGATAGCCAGGGTGATGACCCCAAAGTATCAGGAAATCTTTGAGCTGGTTGGCTGCTGAGGCGTACTTCTTCTTCGAGATCACGGTCAGGTGGATGGCCTATTCTGTTCGCCTCACTGCCCTGTCCGACATCTCATTTCTCTTCGATCTCTTTCTAGCTGCCCCGGCCTTAGGTAGCCAGTAGCTTGAGGTCGCTGGATTGCATGCGTTCGGCGCTGATTTGGTAGCACATGGTGCTCTCATTCCAGGCGTAACATTTTGGAGGATGGACAGTTGATTTCGAATCTGGCTCGCACCAGTCAGTTTTATGGCGCTGGCAGCTGAAAAATCGGAGCTCCAGGGCACCAATGATGAGCGCCCAAAACCCGGGGCCACTGTCGTTGGCGGTTCTACTGTTCTACTGCCTGGCTTTGTAGGGCAGCAAGAAGGCTGATATATATATATATATATATTTATACCATGAACATCGTGTCGGAAGGTTGGAACGGGCGCTCGCTTGGACCTGACGGCCTGTGAGGTGTCCATGTCCTTGGAGACTTGGGGTGGTCCAATCTTCACGCTCATCACCGGCCGCCAAAGACAAGATTCCGGACACGGGATCACCCCGGCCTTGCGCGGCTTGAGATTGAGCCTGGGCTGCAAGGAGTTCCGTAGGCTCATTCCAGCAGCTTCGTATGCATGCTGCGTACTGGGGACACGTGGAGGACCGGATGCTGGGTGGAATGTTACAGACTGGCTTTGGCCAAGAGATTGAGAGCACGAAGACAGCTAAAGGTGGTGGGAGTTGGGTTCCTTGTGTTCTTCAGCGGGGTGCCAGTAGGGCTTGAATTGATGATAGCAGTTCCGGCAGCTGCACTGTGTATCACGGTGTTAGGCCGCGTTGCGCTGGCACGCAAGCGTGCACTCTTGTTGTTTGCGGGCCGTATTCAAGCATGCCTTTGCGCACGCGGAACCTTTGATGAAGGTTCAGCAAAGACCGTCATCCTTGGCTAACACCCAATAATCCGATAACCCACCACCCGTTTCACAGGTTTTACCCAAACACGACCAAACCCTTGCGCAGGAGAATCATGTAGCATCCCAAAATTCTCATATCCCTTTCTTTTCAGGTACCCCATGTGTGCGGCAACGCCAGAAAAGGACACGGGGTCCCCCAAAAAACCACTGGCCAGAACCCCCTAGGTTGCCCAGTGACCTGAGACCCTATTCCCAGGATCCGGATCACCCGCGCGTTCCGGATGTCGCGGCTGTTTCGATCGGTGCCGGAGCTCATGATCCTGGTGCAGGGCATGTTCCAGGCTCGAGGGTTCCTGCTTTCGTCCTGTTAAGTTTCCTGGCTGGCTCCCAGCCATCCGGTTCCTTAGCCGTTTTGGCTTTGTAGCTTTTTGTAGCTTTTTAGCTTTTTAGTGTTTAGTGGGGTTTTCCATTTAGCGAACTAACAGTTCGTCACTTTGAGCAGGGGATCTGAAAACGGGCAGCCACATTTCGTGCGAAGCGCAAAGGAGGCCAGCACGGGAGAGATCCAACATAAACCCGTGTCATTAGGGGGGTGTTCCCTCCAAAGGTCTGGTCTGAATCCCACCCCCCAAGAATCAACCAGGTTAAAAAAATAAAATAAAAGGAAAAAAAATCAGGGGTTAACATTACATGCCTCTCATCAAATCGCCCATTGCGCATTTCTTATGCACGTTGCTGGCGGCGACGCCGTCAACTTCATAACTGCTAGCTCTGCCTTAGGTGTTCAAGCTGCAAGACAAGCAAAGCCAAGCAGGCAGAGCCTGTGCGGGCAAGCCCATTTCAGCGATTTCAGCATGTTGATCCGGTTGATGCGATTGCGTGCAAGCGGCTCGGCGCCTGCGCGAGGGCTGCGTAACGCGTGACAAGGTTCCGCGCAAAGATAGGGATTGGCTGCAGCACGCTGAAGCCTCGGCTTGGTTTGAGTTGGTGTTGCTTGCGCAGGCCGCGTGTTAGTTTTGCTGGGCAGGGGGAGCCCTGCGCAAAGCAGCCTCGATTGAGCTCACAAATC